CTCTCTCTCTCTCTCTCTCTCTCTCTCTCTCTCTCTCTCTCTCTCTCTCTCTCTCTCTCTCTCTCTCTCTCGCTCACTTTTCTTTCTCTCCCTCTCTCATTCCCTCCCACCATCCCTCCCTCCCTCTCTCTCCTCACGTCTCCTCCTCTCTCTCTCTCTCTTTCTCTCAAACCCCGTCTCTCTTCCTCTTCCTCTTCCGCTTCCTCTTTCTCTGCCTCTGCCTCTTCCTCTTCATCTTCCTTTTCCTATTTCTCTTCCTCTTCCTTTCCTGACCCTTCTCTTCACTCTCTCTCTCTCTCTTTCCTTGCTTCCTTCTTCTCTACTTCTTTCTCTCACGCCCTCCCTTTCTGGATTTTCTCAATCCTCCACACACCCCTTGCTCACTCTTACTCCATCAATTTTCCTCTGCTGTAGTCACTCTTCGTTTTCTTTTCTCTCGTCAAGTACACTGTTATCACAGTAAGTTCCCTCTAACGGAATCAGACTAAACCTGTTGATCACAATGATCAGTGAACCTGTATTATATCATGAACTGTATATATATTATATAATATATATATCATTTCTATGCAGTTCAGTAGGGTTTATGCATGTGATAATGTATTTACTCGTTGCTATGATTATTTGTAACAAACTGTCGTGTTTTATAGTTTATATGAAATGGAAATAAAATGAAATAAAACAGAAATTTTACTGGAGGCATAGCGGACACGAGCGGACAACACACGCATGCGCCCGCGCGCGCGCACACGCAAACACACGTACGGTTGGTACATCGTGTGAGTTTTGAGCGAGCTTTGAGCGAGATTTTTAGGTGGAAATGAATAAAAAACAGAGACCATACACTGCGAGTTCGCGGCTAAAGAGATTTCCGGATAACGGATTGCCGGATAAAGGAGGTCGGGCTGTATATATATAGATATAGATATAGATATACATACAGTGTTTCCCCAGTTGCCAAAAAGGTCTGTGAGATGGTAAATCAGCACCGCAGGTGCTCGCTCAGCCAGGGGGGCGGGTGAATGCCCCCACCCCCCTGAAAATTTTTGAAAAAATGGTGCAATTGGGTGCATTGGTCCAAGACAGGCTATGAGGTCACAGACAGGAATTGATCAAGAGAACATACAGTACACTTGCATACACAATTAATACACATGATACGTTGATGACAATATCATCACGCCTTGAAACATAAAGAATAAGTCTGCAAATCAAGACTGTCACCTAACAGCTATGTGACGCACGATATGTAAAGAGATATTAGTAAGTAAACACACCTGATTACGCGCGGCACATGAGTTCGCAGCAATACAGCCATATATGCTGATAAAAATATCTTTGAGTTTTACTTTTTGTACATAAATTTGGCTACGTCCTCCTAGGGTTTGGACCATGGCACCCCAGCGTGCAGCGATGTGATGGTTGGGAGCCCCTAATTTACATAGTGCAGTATTACACTTGGGGGGGGGGTGTAATACTAATATTATTAATATATCACCTAGCCTCCAGAAAAACACGTGTTGGCATGTGATAATAAGTCCGCATTCTGTGGGGTTTTTTGTGGGTAGCTCAGTAGTGTTTACGTTTTGCTTTTATTCGTAAGTCGGGATATGGCAAGCTTACATTAGTATTGGCATTACCTCCTGCAGTGTTGAATATACGTGACACTGAAATGACACGTAAAAAACGACTGATCTCGAGCACGTGGGCTTTATAGATGTTTTTTTATAGAAATAACCCGTGAGTTGACTGTGACAAATTTGCTGTCAGACTGGCATGGACATTTCTTATGTCCGTGCAAATACTTGCTCTGTGTAGTATGTACAATGCTGTCTGTGTCTCAGTGTGTGTCACCAAAAAACTACTATGGTTAGTCGCAGCTAGAATAGATAGGACTAGACTTGCTCTTAGACAAGATTCTTGTCATGTCTATTTTTGGTGTGATACGTACGTTGAGATTAGATTCTTTGCACAGTTGTGAGTGACCTGTGGAACAGACATTCACAGTTTACTTCCATGCTTTCTCTCTGATTACATATCATCAAGTGTGTGATAATAAATAAGTTGGCCTCTAATGTCACACACTTCTGATAACACCTGCGCCATGCATTGAAGTTTTTCCACTTGTCCTTATTTAAAGGGGTACACATAAAGGTATGCATTTTAGTAATTAGCAATTAGCACTACACTAGCTAATTGCTGGTCTACAATTAACTTTCTGTTTGGTTGTAGTGCAGAGCGGTGGGGTACATTTAAATCTATACATTTTAGCAATTAACAATTAGCACTACGGTAGCTGATTAATTACTGGTCTGCATTGAGATTTTCTTTCGGTTGTGCTGCAGAGCGGTGGGGTACATTTAAAGGTATGCATTTTAGCAATTAGCAGTACACTAGCTGCTTGCTGGTCTACAATTCACTTTCTGTTCGGATGTGCTGCAGAGCGGTGGTGGGGTACATTTAAAAGGTGTGCAATTTTGCAATTAGCACTACGGTATCTGGTTAGTTGCTGGTCTGCAGTGAACTTTCTGTTCAGTTGTGGCACAGAGTGGTGGGGTACATTTGTCATTTTTAAAAGGTATGCATTTTAATAATGAGCAATTAGCACTACGGTAGCTGATTGCTGGTCTGCAGTTAACTTTCTGTTCAGTTGTGGCACAAAGCGGTGGGGTACATTTGTCATTTAAAGGTATGCATTTTAATAATTAACAATTAGCACTACAGTAGCTGATTGCTGATTAATTGCTTGTCTGCATTGAGATTTCTGTTCGGTTGTTGGTGCAGAGAGGTGGAGTACTCCATGGTCGCAGCATGGACGAGCCCGACACGGCAATCTCAACAAACAGCCAGCAGGCGAGGAAGAGAGATGGCTCTGCAAAGTCATCGCACGACATTCAGCGGCAGACCAGTGACCTTGATCGGCAGCGCAGCATCCGATCCAAGATCCTCGAGGAGCATCAGGATGTGCCTTACGGAGAGGACGTGCGCAATCAGACGTTCATTAGCCGCTGGCTAACCGAGTCCAACATAGCCAAGGTAAAGCACCCAAACACGTTCACTAAATCGAAATGTAAGGGGGGTACTCCCCTTTTGGGGGGTGTAGGTGTGCTCCACCTAAATGGGGAAATTTATGGGCAAAAAGATGGCTCGACAGCGAAAACATCGGGCAAAAAGGTGGCTTGACATTGAGAATATGGGGCAAAAAGATGGCTCAATAGTAAAAACATTGGCAAAAAGATGGCAAGGGAAAAATTTAGGGGGCAAAGAGATGGCAAGGAAAACGAAAAATATGGGGCAATAATGCAGCGCATGTATATATATATTATCAAGAGTAGATAATAACAATTGTTATATTATCTACTCTTGATATTACATACGTCACTATGCAGAGTACCTCAGCCGGGGGGGGGGGGCGTCATGCTGGGGCCAGGTAGCTCGTGTGTAGGCATGCGTGTGTCCGTGCGTGCACTTTATGTGAGTGCTGTTATTTAGAAATTACTGCATGAATAATTTAATAGGGCATTATGTACTCTACATATTGAAGTACCGGTAAGGAATTTTAATATCGGATGTAAAATGTATGTTTTCTATATGAATAAGTAATCAGGTTGTTGTCTATCAAATAGATCTTACTCTACTAATTACTCGCCAGTAAAGTATGTTACATACATGTATATTACTATTAGTTGAGACATATTGATTATATAGTATGTGCAGATTATAAAAGTACCACAGCACTGTGTACTATTATGTCGCACTACATACAGTGTACATACGTGGATAGTGTGCATACTATCAAGAGCGTATAAAGAACTTAGAAGGCGAATACCCTTCTTTATACGCTCTTGATACTATTCTGTCACACCAGCAGAGATGCCAACCACTACGATTTATCCGTATTTTATACAAATTTCTATTCCTTTTCCAGTTTGTATCAAACTACGAATTTCACTGTGATCGAAATTTTTTTTTTTTTGTCAATTTATTGTCATTTTTTACCCTCAGAATGCAGGAAATTGCATCTCAGAATCAAAGAATTGAATCAAAATTAAAAAAGAATCAAAACTACAGATTGCTTCAAATATGTGTTGGCATCGCTGCACCAGCGATTGTGTTCATACGTGGGTAGTGTGGGTACTATCCTGTCACACCAGAGCCTGTGTTCATACTTGGGTAGTGTGCATACTATCCTGTGATGCCACAGACTGTTTTCATACGTGGGTATATAGTGTTCACTCTCCTGTCACACCACACAATGTGTACATACGTGGGTGGTGTACATACTATCCTGTGATGCCACAGTGTTAATGTGTGGATAGTATGCATGCTGTCCTGTGACCACAGAGCGTGTGTATGTGTGACTTTGTACTATCCTGTGATACCACAGTAAACGTATTGCATGAGATGCTCTGTGCATGTACTAAACATACATTTTTTGTTATAATCAGGCCTTCCAGGGAAAGCCAACACCAGTTTCTAGGACTCTGTTGGTGGGCAACTGCATTCCACCATCCACCGAAGATGACATTTGCGATCAGAAGTTTCCTAACAACAGGATTATATCATCTAAGGTATACCTATACTCTCAGACATCTGTTATAACTGTAACTTAGTGGTAGAGATATTTCACTTTGTGAAATCTGCTTTAATTTGCACGAAAGTAACGTTATATAAAGTTCTGGCTAGAAGCAAACAAAGAACAAACAAACCAACTAATTAAAATCTCAAACAAATGCAACAAATTTGATATTGCAAGAAAACTGCATTCATCAAATGAGTATTAAGAGATCAGTTGTTACTCGTGGCCACTGAAGTTTTACGGTTGCTTCTGCCTTTGCGCGTCTGTCAACAATTTCTGACACTATACATAAAAGTTGCTTAGATGTTAGAGTGAAACTTCCTAATACATGCTTCAGGGGCGTGCTGCTGTTGGCAGCTGCTGGGTGTGAAATGTCTACCTGACTGATAAATATATACTGTGTGTTCTGTCGATCAATAGGTCACATTCCCTTGTGTGCAATAGGGACCTCCAATCTATAATTTATACCCAGCTGCTAAATTCTACTGAGACTAATGGTAGTAGAAATGGCAATATATTGTTAGATGTTGCAAGCGTTCATATCATTAATAGAATCGTACTGATTCAGAGAGTATATTGCTGTTTGTATGCCACAGATAGATAGATAGCGGTATAACAGATATTGCTTGCGGTATCACATTCGTATGAAGTCGACGTGCGCATATTCATTGAAGGCTCCAATCTACATTTTTAGCAGTAATGCACCCAGCAATGTCAACACAACTGTATTTGTGTATATATTAATTATCTGTAATGTAGATTTATTATACCACCCCCTAGTGGAAGGTTATCATATTCATATTCATATTCATATTCATATTCATATTCATATTCATATTCATATTCATATTCATATTCATATTCATTCATAAACATATTCATATTCATATTCATATTCATATTCATATTCATATTCATATTCATATTCATATTCATATTCATTGTGTAAGTCATTTTATCTATCTAACAAAATTGTTTAATTCTGGAATTTGTATTTAAGTTCACATTTTGGAAAACTAATGATGTATATTGTTCTTTATGTATTATTTCTTATTGTTGTGTGATTAAACATGTTCTGTTATTGCAGTACACAGCATGGAATTTTATTCCAAAAAATCTGTTTGAACAGTTCCGACGAATTGCCAACTTCTACTTTCTATGCATCGGTATTATCCAGGTGTGTAGTATATAGTTCCTTATTTAGTTCCTATGACATGCCAGCCCCTCATTTGATTCCCACGAACCATGCCCATTGTTTTGGTATTTTATAGTACACTCGCTATGTATCGAACGGAGATTTACACACTAGCATATGCTTAACCCTGCTGCAAATATGCGATCGGTTTCAGATGTAACATGCTGTTTTTTGATGCTAAACAAGTGACTGTGATGATCGTAAGGGCTCTACGAGAGTTGTAGTTGCATCTATTTGACATGTACATCATCATGACTGGGTCGAAGCAGTGCAAGATGTAAAGGGATATGACACTCATGACAATTTCTACATCTTAATGTGTTGCTCCTGCTTTACATGCTAGAGCTTTTACAGTACACTGGGAATGATAATGATTCTGCATTGTTACCAGACTATCGGAGTCTCCTTGCACGTTCCTATATGCTTCTGGTATTAACGTGTGGCACACTTTACCTTCCTGTAGTTGTTTCTGGAGGATACTCCAGTAAGTCCAGCTACCAGTATACTGCCACTTATCTTCGTCGTCTCGGTTACTGCTGTGAAGCAGGTGAGCAATGTATAGAAGCGCTGTAGCATATAGCATCGAAACTTACTCAGATAGCAGTTTAATAATATATACTTAAGAGAATCATTAGGTTGCCATACATTAGAATGGCTCCGTGCCTTTGGTTATCAATGAATCATTTTCGTAAAGATCTTGCTGTCGATCAAAGTTACATCATGTTTTCTTGCACATTTGTATTCCGTAGTATTGGGTAAACTTCTTGCTTTTGGCGAACATGGCCGGCATTAGTGTAGAATAACAAGTATTTATCTGTCATCACTACAGCATAAGAAGAATTACGTGTCTTGCATAACACGTGTTAAATATCATATGGCAAATGTGAATTCATGAATATAGAAATGTGTAGGTGTATACTATAATTTATGCACTTACTATTGTAATATACCCTAAAATTCTTGGGTGGGTGGAGTATCCCTTTAAGTGTTTTGCATGTTCACTTGTTCACAGGGCTACGAGGATTACCTGCGGCACAGAGCAGACGATGATGTCAATAACAGGCCGGCATTTATCGCGCGTGACGGCAAACTCGTAGAAGTTAGATCTCAGGATATTACTGTGAGATATCAATCTAATATAGTGTTTTTAATCTAGCTTGTAGAAGTTAGATGTCAGGATATTACTGTAAGATATCAATCTAATCTAGTGTTTTTAATCTAGCTTGTAGAAGTTAGATCTCAGGATATCCAGACACCCATGCACTTGTGCCAACATTCCTTCTTCCTTGATTGCAGGTGGGTGACTTGGTGTATGTGACAAACAATGAAGGTTTTCCATGTGATCTCGTCATGTTGTCATCGTCGGACGAGGAAGGACAATGCTATATCACAACTGCCAACCTCGACGGAGAAACCAACCTAAAGGTCAGCGTTGCGATATGTAATCATCACCGTGGTGATATTAGGCACGTCATGATGTTTTGACGAGATGTAACATGTTTCAGCATTGAATTCTTACGTTGACGTGCTATGGCAATGAAATCATATATCGAAGGTTCCTCGACCTTTATCGCGTGTGTGTACATTTTCTGTTTGGTTTATGGTGGTAATTTAGCCTGGGTTTTAGAATGCAAGTTGAAGGTTCGCACGCTATGATTGATTTTGTGTGTATAATTAGCAAGTGTTTGCCAGTATGCTAAGGTTTTTATTAGTAAACTGTATTTTCAGAAAATACATGCATCATATGATGTAGAAACGATGTAAAATATCAAATATTGCTACTATACTGTAGAGCTCTACTATTCCTCTAAACACAATCATGTTGATGAGATATGTGCTGTACGAGATATTCACTTGTTAGACTTCCTAGTTTGAGTACGAGATTTTCATCGTAAACCTTTTTTTCATCGATATTTTATGTTGTGGACCAGGAGAATTGGGTAACTTGAACGCACGACTTTTACCATTAATTTCTAGCCTTGATATAATATAGGGGTGGAACAGCACAGTGCCGCTGCCAACTTACGTGTTATAAAAAATATGCCACACGAGAGTGGAAGCTTTAGCAATTTGTTGAAGTACGCTGTTGCCGCCCCTGTACTGCGTTGCATCATCTCTGCTATGACGCAGTAACAATTCTCGTCGCCACATTAGTGCTTTTGTCGGCATTTCAGATCCACTGCTGCATTCCAGAGAGCAAACATCTAAAGAGTGTTGAGGGGATCTCCAATCTGTGTTCGTCTATAGAATGCGAGCAGCCATCGGCTGACCTATATCGGTTCATTGGCAGAGCAAACATTTTCTCCACCGATTCCAGTGGAAACTCTACCAAAGTGCAGCAGTGAGTTTTGTCACACTGATGTTTTTGATACGAAAACGGAAAAATAGATAATTGAGAGGAATGAAGAGAGCGAGGGGGAGAGATGGAGGAGAGAGAAGGAACAGCATAAGAAGAGGGGATAAGAAATATGCTAAAGTGATGAGAGAGGGGAGACGTAAACACAGAGGGAATGCAGGAATGGGAGGAGGAGAGGGAGAGAGGTGGGAGGGGAGATAGAAAGAGAAACACAGGTGGGAGAGGAAGGAGATATGACAGACAAGAAGGGGTAACAGCATTGTGTAATAAATAATCATTGGTTTGCTCCAGGCCACTGGGACCAGAACACATGTTACTTAGAGGTGCTAGGTTGAAGAATACTGAATTTATTTTTGGTGAGTATCTAAGAAAACCAAACTACACTGTGTGCATAGAGCAAACATGTCCACTCTATAGCCATTACGTAACTATACTGTCAGCTTTATGACAATAAAATATGTGCTTGTTTTCGTTTTGGATTCATATTTCAGTGTCAGGTAGAATGTGACACATTATGAAGCGGCTCACCTTTCCCTGTCTGTATAATTCACGTATTACTGCGGCAACACATAACATAACATATAGGGCTGCAATAATTCACATAATTGTGGTCAAAATTATAATTTAAATGCAGAAAAACTAAAAAATTACAGGTATTAAAAAATCATTGCACGTCATTTACGTGCAACTTATATGCATAATTTATACGCGTATGAGATTAATGACGGCAAAAGTTCATATTATTTTTTTCAGGATGTGCTGTGTATACAGGGCAACAGACCAAGATGGCCTTAAATTCAAAGTTTACTTCTGCCAAGTTTTCTACTGTAGAAAAGTAAGTTGTCAGTGCTAAATATAGAAAACTTGTGACACGATTTAAAAATATAATATATTTAGGTCATGGATGTGATTTCATGTTTGACATCATAAGCTGTCATGGCTGATTCGTTTTTTTTCGATTGCCATTTTGATTACCAGTAAATTACCTGTATTTTTTTTACATTGCATATATTGTGACAATAAAATGTATGCAGCTACCCTTGGAGTAGTGTTCAGAAGTACTGAAATCACTTAAATGGTGGCTTGGATTGCTGTCACTTGTTTTCTAGGTCAATGAACTTTTTCCTCATCGTGTTCCTGGTGATCCTCATGTTTGAGACGACTCTTCTCGTCGTGTTGAAGAACATATACGAACGAAACATATCGTGGCCTTGGTATCTCCCCCCACAAAAACCTATCAATGTACGTATACACCTAACTACTTATAGAGAGTAGTATCTGTCCCCACAGAAACTTACAAACGTATATGTTTACATAGCCATGTACAGATGTTAGTATAGTATATCACCTCCACAGAGATCTATCAATATACATACGTACTTAACTACTTACAGGGGGTTAGTATCTGCCCCACATAAATTTACAAACATACATGTTTACATAGTATACATATTTACATATACACATTATATAACCATGTGCAGAGATTGGTATATCTACCTCGACAGAAATTTAACAATGTACGTGCGTATCTAGCCATATGCAGGGATTGCTATATCTCATCACGAAAAACCTTTCAATATACATTATATACATACGTCTAAAATTGTCAAAAAAAATTCTGGCAGTAAATAGTGCAGAATTAAATGAAATCGTTGTCAATTGTCATGATTCTTGCTTTGTTCTTATTGCAGTTCAGAAACGTTCTCCAGGATCTACTTTCCTTTCTAGTGCTGCTAAACTATGTCATCCCCATCTCACTGTATGTCACATTAGGTAAGTGTTGCCACATAATTATTGATCCATTTTACTTCAGATACTGCTTTTCTGAGATAATTATCGTGCTTGCAAATATTGGCACGCAATTTTTGCTCTACACTACTAATATATACATAGATACGTACTGTAGGCAGTATTTCTAATTTCGTTATTACTGGCATTTGGGACACCTGGATGGCACATGGCATTTTCTTCAATGTTTGGCATGTATGTGGGGGCGTGTGAGGATTTTAATTAAATGATGACTATGTAAGAATGTTGGCTTTTGGTGATTTTTGATGGCTCAACCTGTGTAGTCCTTCAGTTGTAAAATGTTAGTACTAAGTAACCTATCATTGTTATTACTTAACTGAAGGATTTAATGGAAGTGAAACATTTTGTTACTGATGTGCAAGGAATGGCCAATCTGCCTTAAAATTTAGACAATAGTAAGGAGAATATACTATACACGTAGTGTTACATTGTCAGTTCATGCCAAACTTTTGATATACAAAGCAAAAAGGTAATTAAATCTTTTCATCTGAATCCGTGCTCCCTTTAAGTTAAAATGCTACATCAGAATACATACGCACTTGTCTCTAGTTGATTTCGAAAAGTGGAGCAAGTATGCTGCTGTTTGCAGCCATTTATATAAGCTTAATATCTGCTAGTACAGTAGCTTTTGCTGATTAATCGTAATGCCGAGCTGCTGTTCCTATTGGCCACAAATCAATGGATCACATATGCTGGTGTAGGTGTTTTACAGTTTCACAGTTAACCATTACTAGTGTTTCTAGCATAATTGGTGAGAGGTTTCTGACAATCAATAGTTTAGTCCTCGTCGTCATAGGAGGAGGATAAGGTTATTTGGCTCTGAAATGTGGTGTGTGCCTCGCCCCTAAAATTTGCAAGAACTTGCTTGTAATTTTTTAACAGTTTGGTGATTGTCATTGTAATACATCACAGTCTTATCTTTTTTTCTGATTAACACGTGCTCTGATTAAGATGTTTTTACTTTATGGTTATCACATCCCTTTACCAGAAATGCAAAAGTTCTTTGGGTCAATGTTCTTTGCCTGGGACCTTGAGATGTACGACTTCACGTCAGACATTCCTGCCAAAGTTAACACGTCTGATCTCAATGAAGAGCTCGGACAGGTAATATTCTTTTACTACCTTATTGCTTGTTCATTGCTTGTTGTCTGCTGTGAAGTTATAATGTGAAGAAAGTGATATAGGTATAAGATATATATTCTATATGATTATCTATCTCATTACAAGAAATTCTATTTACCAGAGTATTTGTTTAGATTTGATTGACTGTTATTTCTTGTACTATACTGTGCCAAACCACAGGCGACATTCTCACTATATGCCACGTGTTCTATTTCTGTTCATCTGTCAATCTAACTATTAGTAGCGCACTTGCCACGGTTGACAGTTCCTGGGAAAAAATAGCCCGTGAGAGTGAAGTAATGCCATGTCAACTGACTCCCAGTAGATTCCCAGGTGCTACCCAGTTATTATACATTACGTGTCTATGGTTACACAGTGAATCTACTCATAAAACCTGTGCAGAAAACCGCCAGCGCACCTCTGCAGCCAGTAATTCATCTCGCTTCGTCGCCAGGTGGAATACTTGTTCACGGATAAAACCGGTACGCTGACGGAGAACGACATGCAGTTTCGACAGTGTTCGATCAACGGCACGCGCTACAGTGAGGTGGGCGGCATGCTCTGTGAGCTGTCGGACATGCAGAGGGACACCCAGCCACTAACACTGTCTCAGTACACGGTGAGTTGTGCGTGAGAGTTGAGCGAAGACTCTCGCTGTCGTACCTGTGCTGAAGGCATCATATGGAAACGGTTGGGATCACTGAGGGGTTCTCGTCGTGTTCGATTGTACGGGGAGGCTAGGTGATTGGGTGTACAGTGCTATTGACACGTGTAAAGTCGTAGGTTAAAAAAAGTAAATGTGGTCATAACTTGCATGATAAGGTTTGCGACGATTCTGCTGTAATAAATACCACAAATCTGCTTCATATAAGATGGTTACTGGAAAATACGGTGTTTAAACTTAATACTCTAACAGTCCTCTCACTAATTCCACCAATGTTCACCCATATTAAAACACTGAAACATTGTCGGCCATGTTAAAACACCTTCGGCCATATCATTTTAAAAGACTTCCAGCCGTGGTAGAACACTGCAAGCCATATTCGAACAGTGCCAGTCATGTTGAAATATTGACAAGCACCTGAAAAGGAATTAATTTGCAATTATAATTATTTAATTACTAAATTAGTACATCTAATCGTAGATATTTTAAATTTCTGTGGGATAAAATGGAAGTAAAATTTCCAATTGTAAAATCTGCAGCCTACCTATTGTATTAGTACTATACCTACATACTACTAGTAGCACTAGCAACTAATTATGATTAGTGGATTTAATCATGCTCCTGAGTAGAATTAAATATAGTGATTAACTTAATCATGATTAAAGTTAATTACGCTTCGTGAAACAGTCACTTCAATTTAATTATGGGAGGTTAATCATGATTATAAGGACTTGATTACGCTTCGTGAAACCGGCCTCTGATATCATTGAGTTGACTGCCCGCTCGTTGTCATTGCAGCCGGATATGATGGCTTTCGTAGAGGTGCTTGTGCTCTGCCACACGATCAACGTGCACAAGAACCCAGCTGCCCGCGAGGATGAGCCGCCAGAGTACCAGTCTTCGTCACCGGATGAGAAGGCCCTAGCTGAAGCATGCAGACGGTACTGTTGATGGCATCTACGTATCGCCTCATCCCTTCTCCGCGCCTGCTCGTCGTCCTCGGGTTTTAATCCTTGCACTTTGCTTTCTAATTCAGGCTACAGTCACTGTAGCCCTATTCATCCATCTTTCATCATATAGTGCAGTGACATGTCATATTTTTCTCACACTGTATACGCCATATTTTTCGCGTACAGATATTTTCGCTAATTCCGACTTGACGGACAATTTCGCGAGTGGTTAATTTCGCGGTCAGTGAATTATGAATTATTCGCGTGTTATTTTCGCGGTCGGGGATGCGTTCGCGAAATTCGCGAAAATTAAACCACTGCGAAATATATAACGTATACAGTATTCCATATTCATCCCCCCTCGCTCTCGCATCCGTAACTGGCTAATCATCCTCAGCTTCTCATCCTTGCACCTTGCATTCTAATCCATTCTGTTACAGTCACTGTGGATTCATCCATCCACCTTTCATCATATAGTGCAGTCGCATGTCATATTCTGCACATTCGCGCATGTACCCCCAGTGTGTTAGAGGAGCGCATACATAGTAAATATCCATGACCTGGTTGATTGGCGTGGAATGGACCAGCATTGCCAGTTAAAAAAATGAGCCACGGGCCAGAGGTGTGCAGTCAGCCTTGGAAGTGACTGTATATCTGTCGTGCTCCTGTAGAAAAAAATAAGTTATTCCTTCTTATATATGCACCTTAGATTTTGGTATCTTTCAGTATGATTGTTTGCTGACTGCATGACACACACAACACCTCGTAGCTAGAAATGGAACACTCATAATCTCTTCACCCATGAATCCTTAGCCTTAGCCTTGTATCCCCATGGCTGTAAGTTTCATTGTGATACCCCCCCAACCTTATAATACTTGATACCTACTCACCTTCAATAATACCCTCCGCTTACCTCCTATTCATTTTTCCTGGTGTTTACATAATATTAAGGATCCAGTAACTATTAGACCCATCCTCTCGTGATGTATAAACTCAATGCTACATCTTACTATTGTGTATGCAAGGAAAATGGTGTTTCTTATTTAATTTAAGCCTTTCTTTCCTTTCTTACTTTTCAATACCTTTATTTCCTACTGACCATGTCTTAACGTTTTGTCACCGCTAGGCTGGGAGTAACATTTCTGGGCACAAGGGGTGAGAGAATGATATTTCGCATCAAGAACGAAGATATTTCCTATCGGCTTCTGCATGTCCTTGAGTTTGATGCAACGCGAAAGTGCATGAGTGTTATCGTTCGGAACCCAAAAGGTGAGTTGGTGGTTTTTCTTTCTGTGTTGTCTTGTGAAAGGTCCAGGATTACCGATGTTGTATTAAAGTATATATGGTGTGAAAGTCACCGACGTAAACAAAATACATGCCTTTTAGTTAATATCTTGAACCTACATATCAATGATGAATCCATGTGGTTTCTATCAATTGTAATTTTTTATTTCAATATACTTAGGTTCATGTTACGTCTTACCACTGTACCACCGTTTTTTTTGTTGCGAAAAAAAAGGATTAATATATTTGTTGAATATATAGGAGAACATATTGTTGTGGTCTCATTCTGTATGCGTAAGTGCGTGTTATTGATTTACTGTGCTCATAAAGTGTGTAATTGTTATATTTGAATCACGATAATTAAGGCTGGGATGCAGTTGAATCTCTTTGATTTGCAGGTGAGATACTGTTGCTGTGCAAGGGAGCAGAGTCGACACTGTTGCCGAACGTGATTAGCGGAGATGCCGATAGCACTCTACAGCACGTCGATGACTTTGCCATGGTAAGTATGCGCATGATGAACCACTAACGCGTACAGCTACATTTTTGTACTCGTACCTAATACAGAGATGCCAACCACTACGATTTATCCGTATTTTATACGAATTTCTATTCCTTTTGCACCACTACGACCAGTTTGTATCAAACTACGAATTTCACTGTGATCGAAATTTTGTTGTTGTTGTTGTCAATTATTGTCATTTTTTGTCAATTTATTGTCATTTTTGACCCTCAGAATGCAGGAAATTGCATCTCAGAATCAAAGATTTTTCCGGGGGGCATGCCGGACCCCACTAGCAAACTCGGGTCATTATGTGACCCTCGAACTACTAATTTGATGGCCAGAAACTACAGATTACTTCAAATATGTGTTGGCTCTCTGTGCAAAATCTCTGCTAATAGTATCACTGGTGATTTTTGAGGCTAGTATCACAGTACATCGCACCTGGATTTCCCATGTGTCTGTATCAGATATCTCACGACCAGTGATTGATTTACCCAATTTTCCACAAGATATAATGGTGTGCCGAATTTTTCAAAAATATCTTGTATAATTATAGAAGTGACCAATGTTCACTGCGTCACATGTTGTTTTGTCATGTAATCAGTTTCATTGATTGAACTGACAATTTGTGGGTCTATCTGATTACGCCTCTTAACATCATTCTATTATTATTATTATTATCATTTTATTTATTTTTATTGCATTTTTTACATAAAATGATCAAAAGTGCAGCATATCAATTAATTCTAACTTGAAATATGTCTGAATATTTAAGAGGGCAATTTTTTTAGAAAGGGGCGAGTTGCCAACACAGTCACAGGTTGGTGATCTTTCTTCCATGTGTGTAGGCTGGTCTACGCACACTGGTGATCGCTAACAAGAGACTCAGTGAGGAGGAGTTGCAAGACTGTGAGAAACAGCTACATAAAGCCAGGACTGCAATGGTGAAACGGGAAGAGAAGGTGTGTGAAGGCACAGCCATCTTTAGTCTCACGTTGCTGATTTCATGCTGAACGGTGGGCAATACTGCTCAAATTTACATCAGTGAATAAAAACTTGTTGAAGGTAATGTTTTATAAAAGTTTCGGGATCGTAAAGGAAAGGTGTCGATATGGCTTTGATCTAGTAATGTGTAAATATATCTGTACATACTAGCTAAACCAATCCACTCTGCTACAAGTTCTTTCTTGATCACAGATCTCCACCAATCTGATACTTGTGGCCTACCAAACACTTACTATTGATGGCTTCGATCATCAACCAGCTATCTAATCTGCCCTTACCTGCACCACCACCCCCAACCACCTACCCACACCAACCACTCGCTCTTGTTTACCTCTCACCAGCAATTCCTCGGAACTTTCCCTCTTTCCTCCCAAATATCAACCTTCCTACACAAACCGCTTCCTCTGAACTACTTCCACCAGCAACCAGGAAACCCAAAGCCAAGTATTGATATGTATGTACGTATGTGTGGTTCTTTGATGATTTAAAGGTGTCAAGGGCTTATAGTGTCATGGAGCAGGACCTGCATGTTCTGGGTGCAACAGGTGTGGAAGACAGACTACAAGATGGAGTGCAGGAAACCATAGCATCTCTGAGGGTCGCTGGCATCAAGGTAGGTAACTTCACACCTTGTCTAATCAGAGAGGAAGACAGAAGAAAATACTAGGACGGAGCGAACAATTTCAATTGCTCCAAAGTTGCGTTTGAGCTCCCAGACATTTATCAGCAGGTGTTGCGCAATGTCAAATCGATCATTGATGTTGATGTTATCTGTTTCATTATTTATCCTTCCACGCTTGGCCTTTGTTGTGTAACAGGTGTGGGTGTTGACGGGAGACAAGATGGAGACAGCGGTGAACATCAGTCATTCGTGCGGCCACTTCAAGAGAGGCATGCATGAGCTTCATCTCGTGCAGCAAAAGAACAAGCAGCAGTGTGAACGAACGATCACGGATCTCCTCAAAGAGTAAGTTACGAGATGCAGCATAAAAGCTCACTGTCAGATACTGTATACGCCATGTTTCGCGTACAGATATTTTCGCGAATTCAGACTTGACGGACAAATTTTGTGAGTTGTTAATTTCGCGGTCGGTGAATTATGAATTCTCGGGTATTATTCAGTATGAATTATTAGCCTGTTGTTATTTTCGCGGTCGGGAACGCGTTCGCGAAATTCGCGAAGATTAAACCACCGCGAAATATACAGCGTATACAGTAAGTTACGAGATGCAGCGTAAAAGCTTGGTGTGAGTAACTATATGATGGATAGGTGCCGTGGCGTTTTACATGCTGTTCTCTGTGACAGGATTCGGCGGGATGACTTGCTGCAGTGTGCGCTGGTCGTGGATGGGATGAGCCTTAAGTATGCGTTGTCAACTCATCGACAAGAGCTCTACACTCTCTGCTCACTCTGCACCGCCGTACTGTGCTGCCGCATGTCTCCCATCCAGAAGGCACTGGTGAGTACATCAGGGGTACTTTTTTCTGCACCAATCTGGACTCCAGGGAGGGATTTTGCAGGGATTCCTTCTGCCACTACAAGGCACTGACTCGTTAAGATTTCTTTCAACAACATTGCTGTCAGATCTGTCGATATATTCAGCATGCTGGAAATGCATGACGTTGTAGGATGGTTAAATCTGTTTGTGAATGTGATTTTATGCGTGATTGGTTGAAGAATTGAACTATGATTGCACTGTGAGTGATAATGAATTTTTGTATCTATTTTAAATCTATTGAATGTCGTAAGTAGTAGCAGCAGCATGCATGGAGTTATAGATGTTTACAATGTAATGTCTTCACACAACCAAATTTCTCTAGGTCTACAAACCTGCCAAGCTTTTGAATTGTGATGACATGATCACTTACTCGTGATTAATTAATTCTGAATTAATCTTTTTGGTGCTCATGTACACGTTACATATTTGAGGTATAAAAATGACATTTTCAACTTTCCAGCATTTTAACACTGTAGTTACTCGGGGAGATAAGCAAAAGACGATAAGTTCAAGTTTGGGAGAAGTCTCGGGAATTCACTGCTAAGTATCATGTACAGGTGGTAAAGTTGGTGAAGAGTGGACCAGACCATCCTGTGACTGCTGCAATCGGTGATGGTGCGAACGATGTCAGCATGATACAGGAGGCTGAAGTAGGAATCGGTGAGTAGTGCATGTAACTATGTAAGTGTGATACAGGAGGCTGAAGTAGGAATCGGTGAGTAGTGCATGTAACTATGTAAGTGTGATACAGGAGGCTGAAGTAGGAATCGGTGAGTAGTGCATGTAACTATGTAAGTGTGATACAGGAGGCTGAAGTAGGAATCGGTGAGTAGTGCATGTAACTATGTAAGTGTGATACAGGAGGCTGAAGTAAGGAATCGGTGAGTATGCATGTTAAACAATGTAATGATGTGATACAGGAGCTGAAGTAGGAATCAATAATAAAATGTAAGTATGAAATACAGGAGCCTGAGTAGGAAATCGGTGGTAGATGCACGTAACGTATGTAAGTGTGATACGCAGGGCTGAAGTAGGAATCGTTAGTAGTGCATGGTAACTGATGAAAGCGTGATACAGGAGGCTGAAAGGAATCGTGAGTAGTGCGCATGTAGACTATGAAGTGTGATACCAGGAGCTGAGGAGTAGAATCGTGAGTAAGTGCATGGTAGACTATGTAAGCTGTGATACACAGGAGGGCTGAAGTAGGTATCGGTGAGTATGCATTGTAGCTATGTAAGTGTTATAGCAGGAGGCTGAAGTAGGACTCCGGTGAGTATGCAATGTGAATCTATGTAAGCGTCGATACAGGAGGCTGATAGTATGAATGCGTGCAGTAGTGCATGTAACTATGTAAGTGTGATGACAGGAGCTGAAGTAAGGAATCTGCAGCTAGTGCATGTAACTATCTAAAGCGTGATACAGAGGCTGAGTAGGCAATGCGGTGAAGTAGTGGTGCATGTACTCTATGTAAGTGTGATACAGAAAGGCTGAAAGTAGGAATCGGTAGTAAGTGGCATGCAACTAATGTAAAGCGTGATACAGGAGGCTGAAGTAGGAATCGTGAGTAGTGGCATGTAACTATTGTAAGTGTGATACAGGAGGCTGAAGTAGGAATCGGTGAGTAGTGCATGTCAACTATGTAATGTCGTATACAGGAGCGCTTGAATAGGAAATAGGTGATGGTGCGAACGATGTCAGGCATGATCACAGCAGGCTGAAGAGGAAATCTGGTGAAGTAGTGCATGTAATTGTAAGTTGTACTACAGGAGGCTGAAAGTAGAAGTCGGTGAGTAGTGCAATGTAACTATGTAAGTGGGATACAGGGGCTGAAAGTAGGAATCTGGTGAGTAGTGCATGTTAACTATGTAAAGCGTGATACTCAGGAGCTGAAGTATGGAATCGGTGATGTAAGTGCATGTAACTATGTACTGTGATACAGGAGGCTGAATAATGGAATCGGTGAGTATTGCATGTAACAATGTAATGTGATACAGGAGCTGAGAGTTAAGGAAATCGGTAGTAGTGCATTGTAAACTATGGAAGTGTTGAACGTATCAGGAGGCTGAAGTAGGAATCGGTGAGCTAGTGCATCGTAACTATGTAAGTGGATACACTGGAGGCTGAAGTACGTGAATCGGTGAGTAGTGCATGTAACTCTGTAAGTGTGTTACAGAGGCTGAAGTAGGAATCGGTGAGTAGTGCATGTAAACTATGTAAGTATGATACAGGAGGCTGAAAGTAGGAATCGGTGCAGTAGTGCATTAACTATGTAAGTGTGCATACAGGAGGCTGAATAGGAATCGGTGATTAAGTGCCAGTGATTAACTATGTAAGTGTGATACAGGAGGCTGAAGTTAGGAATCGGTTGGAGATTGCAGGTAACTATGTAAGTCGCTGCATACCCGAGCTCCCGAAGTCCACGGAATCGGTGAGTAGTGCATCGTCAACCTATGTAAGTTATACCAGGAGGCCTGAAGTAGCATATGCAGTGAAGTGCATGTAACTGATTGTAAGCTGTGAATACCAAGGAGGCTGAAGTATGAATCGGTGCAGTAGTGCATGTAAACTATGTAAGTGCTGATACAAGGAGGCTGAAGTAGAATCGGTGAGTAGTGCATGTAAGCTATGTCAGCATGATATCAGGAGCTGAAGTGAGGCAATCGTGAGTAGTTGGCTGTAACTATGTAAGTGATACAGAGGCGAAGTAAGGAAATCGGTGAGTAGTGCATGTATACTATTAACGTGGATAACAGGAGGCTGAGTATGGAATCGGTGACGTAGTCGCTGTAACGATGTACTGTGATACAGGAGGCGAAGTGGAACGGTGAGTAGTTCGCATGTAAATATGTATTGTGTAGCAGGAGCTGTAAGTAGGAATAGGTGAGTAGTGCATGTAAAACTATCATTGTGGATACAGGAAGGCTGAAGTAGAAATCGGTGAGTAGTCATGTAACTATGTAAGTTGATACACGAGGCTGAAGTAGGAAATCGGTGAGCTAGTGCATATACACTATTAAGTGTGATAACAGGAAGGCTTGACAGTAGGAATCGGTCTCACAAATTATTTCAAGTTAAAATATATAGTTTACGATTACTAAAATTGCAGGGGAAAACAAAGACATTTCTTGTGGTTTTGTATTACTCTTCTCAGTAGAACAATAAAATCCTACAGCCATTTTGCTAAGTTAATCCATTATTTGATGTTATTTTATTCTACCCCACACGCTATAACCTGAACACAACTTCTTGCAGCTATTACCTTTTCCCCTTACTACTTATCTAACCCATTCATAAAATATGTGATAAATATGAAAACAATAAAACTAGAAATACACACTAGAAAACATTAATAACTAGATATGATCAACTGAGAAAGATACAGCAATCTTGCTTTCTACGTGGCTAGATTTCTTGTCCATATACAGATGCAGCCATTTTACTGTCAGGTATAAATACAGGTGAGGTCATTGTAAGCTTAATTATGGCTTACCATCCAACTCTGTAATTACTAAGTAAGATAATTGTAAGGTTGCGCTTGTAATTGATAACGCAGCTAGAGAGGTTTCTCTGTAATCAATGTATAGTGCTGGTGAACTGCTGTAGTCTGCCATGATATAGTTCTGATCTTTGGTCCTTTTCATCAATCGTCATGAAATGCAGGCAAGAAAGGTTTTGTTTATAAAAAATACCGATATAAAAAGTGTCCTGCCTGCCTATGCTGTCATCATCGTACTATAGCATGGGGGCGTCACCGATGCAGGCACGGTTGGTCAAACTCGTCTGGCCATGTCCGACAAGCGCCACATACATAAAAGCAGTGGCTCGCCATCTTGGCGGCTTCATGGGCCAGCTGATATGCCTCACACCGCATACACAGCCGCGGGGCGAATGTCCTACGGTGCGGCGCCGCAGTGGTAGGTGCGCTGAGCGGCTCCCGCCGTCATCCGCGGCGACTGGTGATTGTCGGCTTGCGATGACGCAGCGCAACGCACACGCGAGCGGCGAGAGGCGATGATTTCGCAGCTAAGGCAGGCCCGAGCTACCACGACGTAACGTCGCGACCGATGCGTGCGCAGCGCCCCTGCGCCGCAGGACGCGACGGATCCGCCCGAGCACTCCTGCACACAGGCGCAGTAACGCGCCGCCGGACATACCCTGTGACGGCTGCGGGAAACTGCAAGCATCACCCCGGCGCCACGCCAGAAGATTATGAAGTGGTCCTATGCGCGATGATAGCTAACAGCTGCTGACATTACGAGCCTCGCTTCGAGCGAGTACCGCCCTCAGCAGGTTCTGTTGCCGGCTGCAACGGTGTAGGGTCGCCTGCTGAACATGGCGCGGGGTTGTTCACTGTGCAACACTGCTCGGTCATAGCCCACTGTTGTTCATCTGTCGAAGACCTGCTGACGAATGCCTGGTGTGTTCATTGTTGAGAAGCTGAACGTGACCACTGTTGTTCATTGTTGAAGACTGCTGAACGTGACCACTGTTGTTCATTGTTGAAGGCTGCTGAACATGCTCACTGTTGTTCATTGTTGAAGACTGCTGAACATGCTCACTGTTGTTCATTGTTGAAGACTGCTGAACGTTGACGCACTGTTGTTCATTGTTGAAGACTGCTGAACATGACCACTGTTGTTCATTGTTGAAGACTGCTGAACGTGACCACTGTTGTTCATATTGGAAAACTGGACGGGCTCACTATTGTTTCATATTGGAAGACTGCTGAACGTGACCACTGTTTGTTCATACTGGAAGAATGCTGAACTCGTGCGCACATTTCTATATGCGCATGCTCATAGCTTTGTTTGGGTCACATAGCATGTGAAATTGTGTCTGTAGTTGGTTTTGATGTACATTTCACTAGCGTCAGATCAGTATGTGTCAAGAAGAGTCTATCTAGAAGTAGAATGTATGGGAACACAGATGTAGGAATGTACATGTTTACACTTCGATCGGTGATTTGATTTTAAATCGGATACCCAGCTTTGATTATACCAGTTGTAAGTCTGCTGTGTATTCGTCTCCTGTTTAATATTCTTCTTCTGCTATTACAACAATACAGTGTAAATTCTATTAATGCCATCAGCGGTGCTGTTGTTTAAATGTCCTTGCTGTCTGCTGCGTAAAGTAAAAGTAACATGCTAAACTGAGCATCTGCAGTCTACCCATACTAACTTAGTCCAGTTGAGTATTTTGTGTTTGTACGCTGCGATTTAGAGCGTGCCTCAACCAGACAAGTTTGAATCGGATCAAATTTTGCAGTCTATACGGAGTAATAACCGGTCCTGCCCTCGGCCGCGCTCGGCGCAGGTTCATTGATGCAGGCATGGTGGTTTTAATCGAATATTGTCACAGTAATACTAATTTACACACTGGCCCCATAACACTGGCATCATTTAATTACTGCCTTAAGATAGTACTTACTTTACTGGATCTGGGTGTCTTGGTGAGAGTGGGTGCCGTACATGTAGCCGCAGAGAACAATCACAGATCTGTTGCTCCGCCGTATAGTCATGCATATAGTGTAGGTGTTTAACAATATAAACATGCAATTTGCTTGTCCTAGCCACGGACTTTGCTCATTTACATAGTGACTGTGCGAGGCACGTGCTTTCTTATCATCGCTTTGAGTAGGGTAAGGTGGAGTGGGCTGCATAGTGCTGCAAACACTACCAGCGCAACCGGAAAATAAATGCGTTTTGTTTTTAAGCAGAAATGTGATTCAAAAGCAGAGCTTCAATATAATTTTACCAGATGGATAAATAATAGAAAGTCTGTCTTTTAATAGTGATTTGTGGTCGCACCACTAGCATAATATAGACATACATATGCTAACGTAACATAACGTAACATAACATCACATCACATCACATCACATCACAATGATCACATCACATCACACAACACAACACAACACAACACAACACAACACAACACAACACAACACAACGCAACATAACATAACGTAGCATAACATAATATAGACATACATATATAGCATAATATCGTCATTTAAGTAGAACTTATTATGCACACATACGTCTTGTTGTATTGCAGGTATCTATGGTAAAGAAGGACGGCAGGCCGTCCGCTGCAGTGACTTTGCCTTTGCAAGATTCCGCTTCCTACAGAGGGCGCTACTTGTACACGGCCACTATTACTACTACAGAGTGGCAACACTGTCCAAATATTTTTTCTACAAGGTCAGCATGGCTTTGCGAGCGTATTTTCGGGGTGGTGTGGCCCAGTGTCAGCGTTCTGTGCTAACGTGGTTTGACGTGCGAAACGTGGGTAATGTTGTGTTGCCTATCACAACATCAATCTCCTTGCAGACGTGTCACATGTAAACTTGATTGTCGGGGAAATGTGCATTAGTATTATCATGGGCATATTTATGTTCGTGGCATTGTGTGGAACGTTGAGTTAGTACTTACTAAAGATGCTATTCCTCTGGTTTCCAGAATGTGGCATTCATCACACCCCAGCTGTATTTTGCATTCTGGTCACGGTATTCAGGACAGGTGAGTAGAAGAAAACGTGTAGAAAAGGGGAGAGAGAGAGAGAGAGAGAGAGAGAGCGAGAGAAGAGAGAGAGAGAGAGAGAGAGAGAAGAAGAGAGAGAGCAGAGAGAGAGAGAGAGCGACGAGAGAGAGAGAGAGAGAGAGAGAGACGAGAGAGAGAGATAAGCGAGAGGGAGAGAGAGAAGAGAAAGAAAGAGAGAGAGAGAGAGAGAAGAGAGAGAGAGAGAGAGAGAAAGAGAGAGAGCGAGAGAGGAGAGAAGAAGCGCGAGAGAGAGAGAGAGAGAGAGAGAAGAGAGAGAGAAGGAAAGCAGAGGGAGAGACGAGAGACGCGAGAGGGAAAGAGAGAGAGAGCTAGAGATTAGAGAGAGGGAGAGAGAGAAAGCAGGTGCAAAAGTAAGCCTAATAGAGAAAGAGAAAGAGGGTGCACAAAAGGAAGAGGAGTGAGGAAGTAAGAGAGTGAGAGTTTTAGGAGAGCGAGAGAGCGAGAAAGAGAGGGTGGGGTAGGAGGCAGAGGCAGAAAGCTGGGTGATGGCAACTTACACTAGACTAGGTGTCATTCAAATAGGAATAAACACGTGAAATTTTATTCACCATGTTGTGAATGAACATGCGAGTGTTATTTTGGGTCAATATTTAAACAACATTTATGCTTTAGCATCAGAGTCTTCAGACAGTTGAAGATTGTAACATTGTGTCTGCAGGTATCTATCTCGGCAGTTACAACTACAATGTCTTCTATTGTCTTTATATTGAATGCCAAGAAGCAAAAATACTCGCTTCTCCTACACCACGTACTGAAGATCTGGGTTGAGCGGGAAAGGTCACACTACTGGTAACCCAATGAGCTAAATATATACAAGGAGATGAAGGCGGATTGCTGTGCTTTTCGCCTCAAAGACGCCATGCTATTGGACCGATACATTAGGCTGTAAACGGCTGTGCAAATCCGTCCCCAGAGACAGATCGAACAACTGAATGTTCTAGCCAATATGACCAAATATGCAAATAATTGGCCAGATAGGCGCGCTTCTCTTCCTTGTTTCATATTTAGCTCCGTGCTCGGTAATAACTCGTACATTCTTCTTGGATTTTTTTCAAGTCTTTCTATGAAAGCATGTACCTTGCTTCTTACAACATCTTCCTAACATCTCTCTGTCCGATACTTATATACGGCATGTTTGAGAAGCACTGTGATGAAAAGACACTGATGGATGATCCCACACTGTACAGGTAATGTGATTGTTAAGCACAATAGCATTGTAGAGGTAGAATACACAATTATATACAATCTATTATCCGATAATTAAGCTGGCGTTCCACTAGCGAAGAAATTCGTATCTTTAGCGTTCACACAAGTGCAAAATCGCGCAGTACAAGAATGTACGGTTATTAACAGATCGGTATTGTTGAAATACGCGGCTTTCCAGACCCCGGCCAGAATAATTGCCGTGCTATGAGGAAATACCGGAATCTCTTGGACCACGCGCATTTTCCTCGTTGAAACGATATAATACGTATTTCTCGAACCGCCGTATTTTATGAGACTGGGTCCCGCCGCTCCGACAGTTCCAGTGTAACCAGCGAGTGGACTGTCTGAGCGCGGACCAGTCTATGTAGGTTTATCGCAGTTGATGCGCATTGGCATTGTTTAATTTCGCATTGTTCCCGTTGATCTGTTTACTAGAAGCAGCTCGCGCTCTCGCAACCATACGGAATTTCTGGAGCCGCGAATCAGTCGTGGATGAACGCTCGGCCCGCCTATTTTGTCTCAGATTCGGTATTTCGCAAATACCGTATTTCATAAATACGAGGTCTCGTGTAAACGAGGCTAATCTAATTATCCGACAATCTAATATACAATCTATTATCTGAAACCCTTGGGACCAGACACGTTTCGAAATTCGGAATTTTTCGGATTTCGGAATGGTAAAACAGTACAGATATACATACATCTAGTACAGATATCCTGCAACTGGCCAGTACTAAAATCTAAGTTTTCAAGAGGCTAAGTGCTGTACCAGTACAGTACAATATGTATGAGTAATGCCAAGCACATCAATATCTCTGCAGTGAACTTTGTGCAGCCAAATGCGAGCTTTGGTGTGCAGACGACCGGCACACAAAAACTTTCGGTTTTCGGAGCTTTTCTGTTTTCAGAATTTTGGATAATAGACTGTGTACTGTAGATTTAACACAACATGCCAGGCTTATTAGAGACCCTAGAAGACTGCTAGACAACTTGGTAGGATTACATTAAACTGACGCAGGATAGAACTTTTAATATTGCTAATAACTGTAATACTTGCAATATTCTTATTGATTAGTACTGTTTCGGCGTATAATGTTTAAGTCCTTGTTGTAGTTATCGTAGTAGGGCCAAGTTTCACACTCTCTACTCGCTTTAAGTGTAACACGCTTTTTTCGAGTATAACACTGCTCGCTTTCTGTTGCAGGTTAATAACAAGAAATGCACGGTTAAGTATGAAAGAGTTTGTAACGTGGAACTTATTGGGTAGGTGTTTGTGTAAACTTCCATTTAATCTAAAACATCTCAAATACTGAATTTAGTAATTTAATTATCACGTGGAAGAGCAAATACCAATATTAGTGCAGCATTTCAAATAATGCTCAGTTTTCTATTATTCATAATATTATTATGAGTGAAACGTGGTTAATAGTATTCTTCAAAGTAGTTCATGTCATTGTTCTGTTCTGTTGGTTTCTGTTTTCTCTAAATACTGTCTTTACTTGCAGGTTACTGGCAGTCATTGGTATTCTTTTTTGGAACATACTTTCTACTGCAACCGAATGCTGTGGTTCATTCCTCGATGGAGGTAAGATGGGGTGAAAACACATAGTGATGTATGTGTTGAACACTGTGTATGCCAATATGGAAAAGTTGATATACCAGTTGTGTTCTGTAGTAAACTGCCATTTATTTAGTATGTACAGTATGCTGGCATGTGCATCTGCTCAGTTGGTTCTTTTATCAAAGCAGAAACAAGGGCACTGCAACTCTTATCAGGCACATGGTTGTGTTGCATTTCAGCATTGTAAGTCTTACAGATGATGAATGTGTTCTGCGTAGGTGTGTTACACAACATCGTCATTACCATATATAGATCTTACAGCCAATGTATGTGATTTGTGTAGGAGTCTCGTATAATCTCATCGTCATCATCGTCGTCATCATTTTGTGAATTTTACAGACAATGGATGTGTTCTGCATGAGGTGTTCTTTGTTATTAAATTATATAGTTACGAAAATTGCAGGGGGAAACAAAGACATTTCTGTGGTTTGTATTACTCTTCTAGTACAACAATAAAATCCTACAACATTTTGCCAGTTAACCATTCATGTAATGTTATTTTATTCTACCCCACACTGCTATACACCTGCACAACTTCTTGACACTACTTACCTTTCCCTACTACTTATCTAACCCTTCATAAAATAGGTGGAAAATAGAAACAATAAAACTAGAATACACACTAGAACACATATATAACTAGAATGATAACTAGAAGATACAGCAATGCTTGTTTTTACGTGGCTAATTCCTGTCCCCATACAGGATGCAGCATTTTCCTGCAGGTATAAATCAGGTGGAGGTCATGTAAGCTTAATTTATTGGCCTACATACAACTTTGTAATTACTAAATAAGATATTGTAAGGTGCTTGTAATTGATTAACGCAGTAGAGAGGTTTCTCTGTAATCATGTATATTGCTGGTGAACTGCTGTAGTTTGCATGATCTAGTTTGATTCTTTGGTCGTTTTCATCAATGTCATGAAATGTCAACCAAAGTACGCCGATATAAAAGTGTCCTGCCTGCCTATGCTGTCATCATCGTACCTATAGCTGGGGGCGTGACCATGCAGCACGTTGTCAAACTCGTCTGGCATGTGCACGACAGCGCCTTCATAAAGCAGTGCTGCCATCTGACGGGCCTTCATGGTGCTCAGGAAGATGCTCACTACGCATACACACGCGGCGAATGTCTCGGTCGCCCGCAGTGTGTAGGTGGCGCTGAGGCTGCTCCCCGTCATCGCGGCGACGTGATTGTCGGCTGCGATGACGCAGCCGCGCACCGCGAGCGCGAGAGCGATGATCGCAGCCACGCAGCCGAGCCAGCCAGCGACGTACGTCGCGACCATCGTGCGCAGCGCCCCCTGCCGGCAGGACGCGACGACGCCGAGCACTCCGCACACGGCGCAGTACGCGCCGGCGGACATCCCTGTGACGGCGGCGGGAAGCGTCAGCATCCCCGGCGCCACGCAGAAGATGATGATGGTCTCTATGGCGATGATAGCACAGCTGCTGACGATTACGAGCTCGCTCGGAAGCAGTAGCGCCCTCAGCAGGTTCTGGTTGGCTGCGGCAACGGTGTAGGGTCGCTGCTGAACATGCGCGGGGTTGTTCACTGTGCAACACTGCTGGTCATGCCCACTGTTGTTCATTGTTGAAGACTGCTGAACATGCCCACTGTTGTTCATTGTTGAAGACTGCTGAACGTGACCACTGTTGTTCATTGTTGAAGACTGCTGAACATGC